CCAAAAAGGGGCGAGCCGCAGCCAGCCAAAATGCCTAACGTTGCCTGGCCCAGTTGCCTGGCAGGTGAGGTGTGCGTCTGAAGCAGAATGCAGCTGACGGCCACACCTAGAAACGGCACCTTCGCCACGGCGACACTCCGCATCTGCTTGGGCAGAAAGCGGCAGCTTCGCCACGGCGAAACGCTCTGGATCTGCTTGGCCTGGGCAACTGTTTCACCCTGCGGTGTCCCCGGCGCCGCCCCGCCTGGGCGTCAGCTAGGCAGGGGTCGGCGGATATAGTCTAGTTAAGTTGCTACGATCCGAAGAACGTTTTCGCTTGGTGGCAGCTCCACTTTCACTCGGCAGCTACTTCCGGAAGACCCCCCAGCTGCAGCATACTTCGATGAGGACGATCTTTACGGAGTCCACCATTGCCAAGAATCCAGGCGTCGGACGAGCGATGAGGATCCCTAGAAGGCAGAAGAAAGAGGACCCCGTGGCTGGCACGGTGAAACCATGTTTTCCCTTTTGTTCAGACGACTAGTCCCATCACAGAGACAGAACGCTCAGAAAGGCTCGTAGCAGGATCAACCCTTGAGATGTAGTCCTGTTCAAATTGCCCACCATATCCATATCCCACAGGTTAAAGTATATAATATACACATATATATGTATATAATGTATATTTATAGAATAACGACCAGGAATCAGTCCCATTGCAATCACTATGTCTTACAGAGGTCCCTTGTTGACCTTGATTTGACCGTGACATGTTTATCGAAATGGAGGCATGAATGCGCCAGGCTTTAGGTCCAGCCTCAACCTTTGCAAGCATATGACTCTTCCAGCTCGCCCCAGGCCCTGGGACCTACCATCCAAAGGAGCTGGGCTCAGAGCCTGCGCCCGGGCAACCCGAGTCGAACGACCGGGATTGGACCGGGATCGGACGGACCCGGGTGTCTGTCGGTGCCCAACTCCTCAAGTCGAGGTTAGAGATGCAGCCCGCGGTGAAGCCCATCCTCAAGGCTGCCGGAGAAAAGCAGTCGGTGTAGGTGTCGGTGTCGTCGTTTGTTGGTTTTTGTTTGACAAAGAGAGGGAAAAAAAGAGGTGCGCAGAAACATGCAGAAACATAGAGAGTAAGTGCAGATCCTTTTGGTTTAAAACTCTACTGTGCCTTGACCGGTAGACGGAGTTTCTTGGGAACCTTTTGCTTAAGACTTTACTTAAGATTGTTAATTTATGCAGATTGTTTGATTTGTCCACTTTGGTCGCCTTTTTGGCTGGTTCTACCAATTTCCAGATGGTCAATAGGTTCTGTTTGTTCCATGATGCAACGGATTGATTCGTCATTTCAACGTGATGAAACGACATAGCAGTCTGGCTGGGGCCGGTATGGGAGACGACTGGGGCTAATGGAGCGAAGATCACGAAATAGGGAGGTGGCAGAATGCAGATAGGTTTGTATTCCACTAATGCTGGACCTCAAAATCATCAACTCCCCCCCACTCACTAGCAAACAACCTAAGGGAGGGTGAATAGAGACATCCCCACCAAAACAACCCCTCCCTCCCACTTGATAATTTGGGTTTTGATTCTACAACTTCTGCAGGGTGGGTGTGCGAAATGCCGTTCTTGCCGACTGTGGGTTCAGTCCTCGACTGTGAACTTCATCAGCCAAAGTCTCAGCATCCTGGGGATAGTTGACCTGCCAAAAACATGCTTCGCCACTCGCCACGGACGGCTTTCTTGACGGACGGCGGTGTGAGGACCAGGAGAAGACCACACCGTCGATGCCACCCATGAGGCGTTTCTTCGGTTCGCTGCACTGACAGCGGAAGCTTTGCTGTACGTCAGCACCAGACTCACCTGCTGGTTTATAACATGATTTGACAAGATTCGATCACAGAAACGGACCCTAATTGCTAATTACTCTATTCCCAACCCGTGATCGTTGACATGATTGCTTTCGGTGACCTTGGAAAAGCAGCCGTTGCATCAACGATTGGTTCAGAACTCTTCTGTTGCATCGACATGTGGCGCGACTTTCTGTCCTTGGTGTTTCCAGATGTTTCCAGAATCTCAGAAGCACATGTGTGTGCGATCGCGCGTCCTCCTGAGTCCTCCTGTCCTTGTTTGCACAGATCTGCCGCCGAGGATCGGTCGGTGGGCCCCACGGGACTCCCAGGTACTTACCAGGCCAGGTTCCCATGACGGAGGCCGCGGCCGCCGACCTCTCGAAGTTGTTGGGAGCCTATCAAAGCGCCAGCAAAGCGAGCGAGACAGTGTGTGTTGCGAAGAAGGCCAGGAGACGGAACTTGTCTTGCGAAGTGTTTAGTTCGCAAGAGTGAGATCCCTAATACTTCTCCTTCTCCTCTGATCCATGTTTGACACAATCCCTAGATGGTTTTGGCACCACTTGGTACATGGGCTGGACATTCGGAGTAAGATGAAATTCATGTCGCTTCTTTTAACTTAATGATTGTGGTGAACGTCCATTCGGGACCATTCTCCTTAATGGAAGGATTCCCTCTTCAGGACCAGTAGGGCTGAAGCACCAGCCAAGATATTAGTTAAGGGGAAGGCTGACTTGGGAGGGATGACTCAACTCGCTAAAGACTACATAGTTTTGCAGGGAACACCGACCAAGTATCTTGCCCACTTGGGCCCATCAAAAGGCTTCATTCATAAGCCCAGTGGTGGCCATAAAAGTCATCGACTGGGAAAGTCCTGATTGAACCTTGTCCAGTGGGCTATTGGTGTCATTTGCTTAAAGCTAGTCTCTTCCTTTTTGTAGGTGTTGACCAGGATACTTGCAGAAAAAAACATATATATATATATAGAAAATATAGATACGGTAGATAGATAAGGATAGAAATAAAGAAAGAAACACATAAAGAAAGAAGTAATAAACTAAATAATGAAAGAAAGAACCATGGATGGATGGATGGATGGATGGATGGATAGATGGATAATTAGATAGATTCATAGATAGATAGATACCCTGAGGTTCAAAAGGCGATAAAAACAATGTCTGTTGACATGAAAGCACATGTCCAAAATGATCCTCCCCCCCCACCAGTTGTGTGATGACTCTTTTTCTCATGACGGGCCCCGTGCCATCCGCAATGCCACTGATCGATTGAGCATACATGACACAGACCTAGCACATTCCACTTATCATAGATGCATGCCATGCCAACTGAGCATGAATTGGCATGATGACCTTCGGATGGCGCTGAGGTCGAGCCGTCACACGGGCGAGCCGGGTGATATGGCGCGGGAGCTTGGTGTGAAGCTGGTCGCCGTTACGCCGATGACGGACCGATCTTGTTCCATGTTACAGGAGCTAATTGGGTTTGTGAGGGTTGGTGCATTCAACATACCATGTCAACTGAATTCAGCTCATTCACTTCCAAGACGCTCTCTCCAACATTCGTTCGGATGCGGATCATGTATAAACAGGCCCTGGAAAAACAACATAGAAACATTATTGCTATGTTAAATTAATGAACAACATTTACATCAAGCCCAAACGGGCCTGTTCTAGCAGTTTCTTGGAGAAAAGGATAGCTTTTGGACACCTGAAGAACAAAGAAGCTACTAGGAGCAAAGGGCATCGCTACTAGGAGCAAGAAGCTAATAGGGACTCCTGGCCTTACTACTAGGAACAAGAAGCTACTAGGAGCAAGAAGCTGGTATATGAGTTTCTTTCCATCCTTGACTCAATCCAGCTCCCATACCGTCCAGGCAGGGCCTGGCACTTACGAGCTCCAGTCCCGGTTGCTGCTTGAACCGCATGGGGAGCGGCAGGTTTGGACTGCAAGTTTAGACGTGTCATGTCTTTTGAAACAACATCAGTAGATTGAAACATTTTGTCCCAAAACAATGAACAGTTAAGAAGTCTCCAACTGTATCTGGAGATGACAGAAGTGGGTCAGTTGGGGCCAGGTTATTCTTTTCAGGTACACCTCTCGTTCAGTAGTACGTGTCTTTGTGTGACAATCCCCTCAACACTTGCTACTTCAACCTCAAGCGCCCCTGTTTGGGGCGCGGCTACACTGCTACCGTGGTTCATGTCCATGGTGAGTTGGGCCGCGAATTGCATGCACGATGTATCATTTATGTATGGTGTTTTTTGTTTAATGGCTTGCTGCTGCTGCAAGACATCTCTCTTTGCTTGGTTGTTGGACTGGAGGATGCCCACTTGCATGATGGTCATCGATGGTAGAACACTGGATATGTTGTCGTCCAGCTGATGTTGAACTCGCTACAGAACACTGTTCCTGCCTAGAATCTTTAACGTCAGGACCATGTTAAAAACTCGGCTGGGCAAAATCATTGGTACAACGGTACAACATAACATTGTTTTTTATCCGAATCTCCCTCAATGAGTTTGCATTTGGACATTTGATTCACTTTGTATTGTCCTTTTATAGTAGCACACCGACACATTTGTTTGAGCATCATGAAGAAAGTGAGTGCAACAAAACCTGTGCCTCACAACATGGCCTGTCATTTGTGCGACACACCTTCGCCTCCTCAAACCGGAGCGAAATCGCTTGCTCTAAGGATCAAAGACAGCCCCGTCCCTGTCTTCAGAAAGCCGTCTAACCGGCCTGTGAGAAGTTCATCCCATTCGTGGTTTTTGCCTTGCGCTATGTTGGATGGGTGGAACTTGCATGTTCATAATAGAAATTCAGTGATCTATCCTATCCAGAACCTGTTTTTGGTTGGAACTTGCATTCTTAGAGGGGAACAACACGGAACAGATTCTACCCTGAACAGTTATTGTCGCATTTGCTGGAAATGTGCGTATGTTACATGAAGGCGTGTGTGGGACTTGATGTGTTACGGGCTGATGTTTAAAGCAGCTTTCGAACACAAATCCCGGGTAGGTGTTCAGATGGTACCAGGACAGGCAAAGATGTTTCTACATCCAATCATTTTGAACGTGGAGCACCCAAGCTACGTTTTTCAGTGATATGGATGTTGCCTGATGTTGGATTACATGCTGTACATGCTCCATGCCCTCAGATGTAAAGGGCTAGGTATCATCACCAACATGCTTTGATGCTGACGCTGCTCCAGTTCGACAGGCCTGGACGTCATTTCCGAAAACTATGGGAGGCTTCCGTACGGAGCCCAGGACTTGTGATTTGGAAAGGTTTTAGGTTGCTGTTGTATGTTTTTGCACAGATTGGGTGGTCTTAGATTTTTTAGTGCCTGACTTGATTGGGTTTCGGTCCTGCATGGATTCTTGCAGTCGATAACTCGTCAAACGGCAGCTGAGGCGGCCATTGAGTCCAAGATGCCTCCAAAAGATTTGCCTGGACCGGGTGCATACGAACCTGAGGCCTGATTTTAGGATGGATTACAACTAGTGGAGAAACAGTGGTGGAACATTGGAAGGATGGGTGTCAATTGCCGTTTGGTGCGGCTGGCAATCCGGACGTAAAATCTACGGTCATGTCCGCATGTTGATTCGGGAGAGACCCTTTCGTGCGTGAAGGTCGCAACCTAGTGACCTAGTGTATAGTCTCGTATCCAGTTCTGTGGTCAAACAAGTGCTGGGTGGGCCGATGCCGGCACACGTAGATTGCAACAGTGAATGAGGAAGTGACCTACACGATGTTACTCACATTTAATCGGTTTGGAATGCTTTATTGGATGCTTCGTCACACAGCAATAGAATGTTGGAGAATAATAAGAAGACCACCAAACGCCAAGTGGATGGGGTGGTTTAGACAAGGAACTTCTGGTGAATTTTATGCCGCCAAGGCTAGAGGAAAGGAGAGTTTGTCCACATGTAGACTTTGGTCAGAAGTACCCTGCACATTTTTTACAGGTAAAACATGCTAAGTGGCAACAGGTGGCAATTGAATCCCTTTACGGACTATTGGATGGGGTGAGCATCAATAGCCAACCCCAACAAGAAAGACCGTTCAATAGGCTACCGAATCTTCAACATGACACCCATCGGTTGCATATCTTTGTGCTGTTGACCTTTTCCTCTCTCACCTAACATCCGCCGATGTGCCTAGATCATCGTGCGGCTCCAAAGAGACATCAAAGCGAAGCCCAACAAACAACCCCCCCTCCTTCTTCAGGTCAAGGACTCTGCGAAGGGCGCGGCCAGTCAGTGTGGTTCTCAGATTTTAGATGCCCGGTGGTTCTCGTATCTACATCCAGTCCAGTGACAAAAAGTCCTTTTGCTTGGAACGAAGATAAGTGGCCGTAATTTTTTGTCTAAAGGCCAAAGCCATTACCCACCATTACCTGCAGATGCCATGTCATTACAAAAAGAGAACAAGTCTTGCAGGTGTGTGTTGATATGAATGATTTGTATACAGACTTCCCGAGCCCTCAGAATGTGATGTCAGCGCTCTTCTGGTGGTGTGATACGTTGTTTGTGTCCGGGCCCTTTAGTAGAACCTCGGTTGCATCACTGCCAATGATGCTTCCATATCTTCCATTCTCCAAACAGTTGAGGAAGGCTCTTCATCCAAGTCATGAATGCTCAAAACACTTACACAACGCATGTCAAGTTGCTGAATCAAATGTGATCAAAACCACTTCACCACCTCTGGAATTCACATGAACTAGGTGCTGCATGCTGCGCCATGCTGCGTCGTTGTTCCTTCGGTGCGCGGTGCTCGGCGATGTATTCCGCCGCGGGTTCGTGCGGTCGTCCACCGCAGCTGAGGTTCAACTCCAAAGTGCCAAAGATACCCAAGGACAGCTCCAAGACACCGGGCCCAGGCGACACGAGCGTCGCGTCGCCTGTTTTCGGCGTCGGGTGTTCGGCGCCGGTTTCGTCGTTTTCGGTCGAAGGTCTGGTGAGGGAGGCAGCGGCTGGTCGGTGTGTCCACCGAGAAGAAAGAACGCCCCAAAGCTGAAAGGCATTGGAAAGCAGAAAAGAGTAGAAAAAGAAAAACAACTGTATGTGATTAGCAGAAGTCAGATTCGAAGACACTAGAAAAAGAGCAGCTGAATTCTGAATGATGTGTTCTTTGCTGGAAAGGATCCCTTCTCTTGAGGTTCACCTTCTCAGGATCTCATCCTTATCATCTCTTGAGAGATGTCGATGTCTCCTGCATGCTCTCAGACCGACCTCAGGTGCCTATGATGTGCTTGGGCACATTGAGAAGGCCTCTGCTGAGACGCAGGACGCGGAACATCCACATCAGCACAGAAGACCGGAGAACACACGAGGGATGTGCCCCCGGAGGATGGGGGTCGGGTTCGCGAGGTCGATGAACGAAACAGAAACATAAAGAAACATGTAGACAGGGTTTGTGGTAGAATCCGACGAATGGCTTGGGGGTGTCCAATTACCTGTAACAGTCAGTCAACAATTACAGTATCACTACTGGAGTTTTAGAGAGAGAGGCCTTGGCTAACCATCATCATCCACTGTTACAGGGAATAGAACATACCATGATATACCCCAAATAGAGTAGAGCAACAATATGCAATATATTTCAGTCCTTTACCTGTGATGTCCAGTCAGACCATGCACTCAAAACTTCATCTCGCTTGATTGCCCAAGACCATGCAGCGTGGAAGACAAGACCAGCATGGACTTTCGACCACTCAACTTCCCCCCCCCACCTCGGTTTGGAAGTGGCCAGGAGCGATGTGAAGCGATGTCTTTGAGCAGGGGCACGGAGTGGGTGGAGAGAGAGAGAGAGAGGGGAATTTTTTTCAGCTGACCCAACAGCCTTTGGTCGGGATATGGGGATGGTGGGGATGGTGGGGCTTGGCTTTAAGTCCAAAAGACGTCCTAGGAGTTTCAGTGTTCATGAAACCTGATTTTAGGGCATCGATCGTCGCAACAGAAACATACAAAAGCAACTTAGACACTGGGTCTTGTGCAGTGCCTCCGTGCGCCTCCCCAAATAGGGATATACACATTGTTTTGTTTAAATAATCGTGGACATATTATATTGTAACATTGTAGATTCAAACAACATGATGATGTTCAATCAACAAGGTTCTTCTTCTTCATTGTGAGTGGTCTTTGTTCAAAAACTTCCCCTGAGCGGAAGCGAATGAGGCCTTGGCTTTGGCTCCCTGACGGAGCGCGTGGGCTGGCCTGGGACCCCGGGATTCGTCGCTCCCATCACGGACCTTGGCAGAGGCGACTGCAGAGGCAGAGGTCATCAGATTTTTTTGTCTGGATCTTTTCTTGGAACATGGGCTGCTCGCTCAAATGCAGCAATCCCTGGATTTAGCATGTTATATACATGTTTCTCGTGTCTGGAAGATCGAAGACCCCTTCGTTTCATGCGCAAGGCAGCCAAGTGTTGGCCGAAAGGCGAGCTACGGGTCCTGTGACCCCGGAAGGGGTCCACTGACCTGAGTGTGCCGAAAAGCTGCGTGGTCCTTCCTCAGCCATCCGGATCATCCTCTTCGCTCCTTCTGCGCCCTGCCCACCTATCTGACCAACGCCATGACCGAGATTCGCGGAACCAATGGCATGCTGAGCCAGGCTGAGCAGGGCATGAAGCTCTTCGAGTCCCAGGTGAGAGCGTCGCTGCGTAGCTTTCGAGTCGAAGCCGCGGCGACGGACGTTTCGGGGGAAACGTGTTTAATTCAGCGTCGCGTTTGCCGCATGGCCAAGCAAAGGAGGGCTCAGAGGCGGAGAAGGCAAGGATTCGACCCTCCAAGCACTCATATCTCAGATATGCCCAGAATCCAAGGATTTCCAAGGTGAACTTGTGCCATTGATGTTAAGCGCAGGATCTTTATGGGCCTGCTTCTTGGCTCACAGATCTTCCATATATCCGTACTGCTTGGGGGGACACCTGTGTGACACATGCCAACCACATGCGACCGGGCGACCAGTGAGGCGACCTGATCCCGGTCCGGGCCGCGCCGTCCGCGACGTCCGCTCAGATGGGCACCGCTGCGGAGTATGACAAGCAAGCTGCTGAGCAGTACAAAGTCCAGGTCGAGTTGAAGATTGCGGACTTGGACTCCCAGGCGGTTCTTGGACAGATCAAGTCGATGTGATGGTTTGTGAATGTTGGTGACTGATGACTGATAGAGTGTGGGCAGGTTGAGGAAGGTCCAATGACTAGCGAGTTTGTTTTTCTTGACATTGAAGGGACAAGACCAATGAATGGAATGGACTTGTAAGTCATTACAGGGATGGAGCCGATAGTTTGAGAGGCTGGACCATGAATATATTGCCGCATGCCGCATGCCAGTCAGTGTTCCGCCTCAGATGATGTCCGTCTCAGCCACGACTACGGATGCTCAACCTATACTAAACTTAGGTTGCCACCAGTGATGGCAACGTTTTTCGTCCTTCAACTGCATAAGTGTTTCAATGTCTTTTTTAGAACTCCGGCGCCGGCATCCTCCAAGCCTTCCCCCCTGCCCTTCCACCGAGCCAGTCGTACATCGTCTGCACAAATTGTCCACCTGTCGTCTCTCATGAGAGGCAGCGATGCTCACTGGAAAGGACAACAAAAAGGAGCGTGCGGCGAAGGCGGGCGAACTCAGGAGTTGCGAAGGCGAAGGCGAAGGCCACCCCGGGTTGTGGGTCAGAGATGGTCAGAGTGATGCATTCGAGTAAACCGAACACACGAAAGGTCGGAGGGGTAGTGAGCTTTTATCTGCTCTGGTGCCGAGCAGTGGCACCAATCCCTTCGTACCCAGTCAGTGGATAGCTTTCTACTGTTTATTGGTTGATTGGTTTCCCCACTCAAAACCGACCGGAAAAGGGTGAACTTGATGGATTTGATGGCTCATGATCCATCGCGTCGCGTCGCGCTTTCTTTATGGCAGGGGAAGGAAGTGGCCGAACTGAAGAGTGAGCAACGACGCTTGGCCGCGACCAGCGCGGTGACTACTTGATCTCTCTACAACGCTTGGGTACCTGCTGATCCGGAACAGCGACGGGAAGAAACGGACCAGGACCAACATCGGATCTTGACCCTCAAAGAGCTTCCAGAACTGGGTGTTTGCTCATAGGGGTTGGGGTGGGGACATAGGGAGAAGGAGGACTTTAGCCATAGAACATGTGGCCGTTCAGCAGCCATAGGTTGTTGGTTTCAATTCATTGTCAGAGGTTGTTTGTGCTCATAGGTTGACCGGACGAGGAGGGCGGCAGCGGCGGCAGCGTCACATCTTGAGGTTATGTGGATGCATGCAAAATTGTGAAGGGCCTTGAACCAAAGTTTGGGAACTTCACGACCAAAGAGGCTGTGCTGCCTGATGCGCCGACGAAGCAAGAAGAGGAGGAGGTCAAAGTCGTTCAGACCAAGAAGGATCCCAAGAAGGAGACAACCTGCTTTTCCAATTTTTGCATACGTTCATCTTATGACTCCCAAAGAGGTCACACACTCCCTGCGCTGCATTGCTAGATATTCTGACCAGCTCTGACCAGGCACACCCTTTTCACAGTTCAAAATGAAATCATGCGCAGCTTCAGGGAGAGCTGCTTCAAGACCAGAGCATGTAACATGCTTCTCCCTGTTGTGTTCATGACTCAGGAGTGTCTTGGTGTTTCTTCCGGTTCCTCCGGTTCCTGATGTTTCTTTGGGCCATCCGGACCGTGTCCTTGACGCGCCCTTTACGGTCCCCGCGCTCGATGCAGGGAGTGCACGGCGTCCGATGTCGGTGGTCGACCAAGAACATGAACACCACAATGGAGAGCACCAATTCTTCCAACATGACCTCATTACGGGGTAGACTCCCAAGAAAAACGACAGCGTTCCGCTTAAGTCGCTTTCGTTTTATCCTTTTGTTCGTTGTGGTCTCCTTTTCTCGATCAGGAGAAGAAGGAGACAGCTGGCCTAAGCCCTGCAGAGACCAAAGAACTGGAGAATCTCAAGTCGCCTTGCTGCGGTACAGAAGAATACACATGATGCATCCACTTGTTTCAGTGAAATGGTGCGGCAGACTAGTAACAAGTGCATTACTATTGGATACTATTAGTATCTATTAGTAATTAGTAGTTTCTTGTTGCTACTCGAATAAATACACGGAAGCACCAGTACTTGCACCTAATCCTCCACGGCTCCAAACCCACCCGACTCACTCCAAACATTTTCGGAGGTAGTTGGAGCTGTATACGGATGACTCCAGCTGTGGAAGGTTGATCTCCTGTAGGTCGGCCATTCTGTTCATTTTCTTCGGTCAACTAAGATGCATGCAATGGCAATTCATTGGTGCAAGGTCGCCACGGACGGTCATTGGCTTCTTTGGTGAGATGCAACAATGGTCAAGGTCCTCCGGTTTGGACTCACCCACAGCTATATATTTATATACAGTACTGTATATATATATATATACACATTATGCATGATATATATATATGTATATGTTTGGTTAAGGGAACCAATTCTTGACCAACCTTCCACCGAACGCCCCATGGACAACGGGGGGAAACCTGCCGATGGATCCTAGCAGGAGCGGAAGTTACGAGGCAGGTCGACCGACGCCGACACCGACCGAGGCAGCAGATCATTGAGAGAAAGGCTCTCTTGAAGGAGCTGCAAGGCTTGAGCGGCGGTCAACAAAACAAGGATGAGGAGCAGGAGTTACATGTTTCAAGGTCAATTTTGTGTCAATCCATGGTCAATTCATGTTTAAGAGCAAGAACACGTGTTTTAAGCACTATTGAAGGATATCTTAAGGAGGATTTTGATGCTTGATTACTGTAGGTTTTGCTGCTACACTGAGTCTGCAACCATCTAGGGCCTAGGGCAGCAGTGGTCTTGTGCAGTACCTGTCAGTACATCCCACCCTGTGTGTCAGAACAGCTTGGGTCAGTGGCGAACAAGTTCTTTTTTCTTTGATATGGACGGCTGCTGCACACTGTCCGTTGCGGGTTTGTCCAGAAAGCCAGGAGGTGGTGAAGATGGTGGCACGTATGAACGAGCTTAAGGAGAAGCAGGATCCTGGCAGCACTAAGAAGGAGAAAGAAGGCAAGAAGGCCCCGCTGCGGACGTCGCGCACCGAATCGAGTGCGGGGGTCGGACGGGCTTGGCGTCCAAACACGGCCGAAGTGTGGGCACCATCAATAGAGGTTTTTCGTACGGATGCAGCAACTTGAGTTGAAATGGTGATTTACCAAGATGCCTCTTTTGATGTTTCTAAGGGCCGTAGATACTAGATGACTTGGAAGATCGGAAGGGTTTCCCTAAAGTGTCTTCAATTTCCCTTTCTGCAGTGCACAGGGATTGCCTGGTGTGTTCGTGTTGGGGTTGCCACTGGAGCAGAAAAAAAAAAGCACCGGACGTTCACGTGCTCCACCCGGTCTGCAGGACAAGAAGACCCCTCTTAGCGCAGAGGAGCTAAAGGAGTTTGGACAGCTGCAAGGTAGGGCGGACGCGGCCGACTAGCGGAGCCTAGCAGCTAGCAGAGTTGCGGACGAAGTGGATGAACATCCGGATCCTAGGATTCTTATCTGGGATCCAGCCTTGAGATATCAACAAGGCATTTAGAGGCCTTTAGGGAATTGGGGGATGACCACACTCATGCTTTCTGTGGTCTACAGTGATGGACATGTGCCATGGACATGGTCTGGGAGCGAATACATGGCAGCCTGGGGGATCAACCGTTTTTTCCTCAACACTATGACGTGATTTTTGCGGGTCTACCCCAAGGGCTGGCTGAACGCCCAGTCCAGGTCCTACGAAAGGGACGATCGGCCGCACCAGAATCTGCCTGAAATGGAATTGTTTGGAATCCGGAACAAGGGAGACCCTACAGATTGACAGGTGGGAAGAGCAAGAGTAGAGCCAAAAACAGCAAAAAGCCATTGGCAAGGAGGCTCTCCAGTCTAATATACACAAAAATTAGGTCTTCTTTGAAACCACTAGACAAGCTAGTTACATAATATAGACGCACACTCTTTGTACTCCTTGTAGCAGAATGAGCAGCTTAGTGGCTACAGTGACTTGCAACCCAGATGACCCACTGGCCAGCAAATTGACCGGCGGTGCCTTCACATTGATGTCGTGTGTGTTTTTTTTCCTTGTTTTCTGCAGCACTTTTTGTGTGGATAGGAAGCATGGCCATGGGGAACTGGTTGCTTTCCTTGCAGACACAATTGCAGGTGAGATTGAGATCTACAAAGCAAAGTTGCGAACGGAGTTCGGCTACAGCAACAAGGACATGTGGTGCCCGACAAGTTTTGTTGTTGCTTTATTTAATAGTTTGTATGGGTTTGGAACTGGTCCCAGAAAGTACAATCGACTATGGCCCAATATGGCACAAGCATTTGACTTGCTGTTTTCACGTTATTTCCACTGTTCTAAAGGAAGCTGGATGAATAATTCTCCTCCCACTCCCACCAACATAGAGACCGATTTTGCATTGATGAGCATCCTTTGACCAACTGTGCTATCGCTGATCTTACCTTAACTGTACACCTGCGACCTGCCACAGACTTGGGAACCTGAAAAAACAAACGAGTTCCACGAGGACTGAGAACCTGCCCGCTTTCAGAACTCTTTTTGCTGGTAGTGTCCCACAAAATCCAGACTACGGAGGTTCCTTTTTGGATCGTTTACAAGAGCTGAACCACATGTGTATATATCCACAAGGAATTCATTAATAATATATCCATATATGTATATATCCCTGACGATCCATGACCACACATAGGTCACACAAATAGAAATGATCTCAGGATATGCATACGTTTCTATTGATCGTGTTATTTGAAGACGTTGTCGAATCACAGGTTGGGGTACCTGAAATGTATATACAATTCCAGTATCATTGTCGGAGGATAAGACCATGAAATCCCAAGAACCAAGCATACCAGGGCGTGACGAACCGTGACAGACCGTGATTGGTCTATTGATGAGATCATTGTCGGACTCCAGCGTGACAACCCGTGACGAATTTGAATTTGGGATCGTTGGTTTTGTGGTTTTTGGGTTCTGTGGTTTTGTGGTTTTCGGGTCTGGTATGATCTCTTTTTTTGAGGTCGGACCTCACAGGGTGAGGTCGGAGAGATCCAGAAGACACAACCCAAATGTTAGCATATAGAGCTAACTTTCGATCCTCAGGGTATATATATATATTCAATTGAGATCTGTAAAAGAGATGGATAACCACAGACCTTTAATGACTCTCCCAGAGGCTCTCAGACCCTCATAGGAGGGGTTTGGGGGTCTCAAATCCCAAGCTTTTCAGGGGCCAAGGGCTGTGTGGAGCTTGTGGGCTTGGCAGTGTCACGCTCTTGCTGCTTTTTTTTGTTTCTTTTTGCCCACGAAAACTTGCGTGCACGAGGACATCAAGGCAGATCCCGATTTGAGGGACATGGAAACCCGCCTGGCAGCTTTCCAAAAGCGGAGCTGAGATCCAAAACCGGGTCGACCTCTTTTGGCGGAGTAGATTCGGCCAGCACAGAGGTTCGCATGTTTTTCGCAGGTGGCTGTCGAGGAAGACAGCCCTTTTTCGGTTTCAGCATCAATGACTGGGACAAGGTCAGGTGACAAGGACTGTGTCCATTGGATACGGGCGGTGAATCAACAAGGATCCTAAATAGACATACATATACCCTCCCACAATTTGGTGCATTTTGGTGGATCTAGAGTCAGGAAGCACAGAAGTTTAGATATGTTTAGACGTTGTTTGGGCGAACAAATCATTATATAAAAGAAACTCAATCAGGGTGTCAGGTTCTTGACGTCTTACATCATGTTAGGGGAAACATACTCCATGACCATGTATATATACACTCATATCCTGACTATGCATCCGGGGTAGAATAGGTCTTCACCCGTCATTATAGTTGTTTGCCTCACGTGCTGGCTGGCAGATTTCAACTTTATCAAGTGCTCGTTGGATCTTTCTCGAGCTGTTTCTGTTCCATGCCTTTGAAATATGGCAAGAGCTGACCGATGTAAACGATGTAAACGATGGCAGACCGCAGACCGCATGTCTGGGCGTGCAGCTTTCTTCTCAAGAGGTGTTTTCATTAGCTGAAGCTTGGGACACCATACATCACCTCTTTGGAACTGTGATGACGTTCCAATCTTAATTCAATCGCTGAAATCTTGATGACACTTCGGGCAAGTTCTGAGAGCACTGGATTTGATCTCTAACTTTGGCCACCCCCCTGACACCATCTTATCCACCCTGGCTCACCCATATCCGAAGACGGACAGTTTGTTGTCACACCCATCCCTTGCATCTCCCCATCCACCCCCCAAAAACAAATCGAACAAAACACAAACAGGCCACAAATCCAAAGTCATTTGTGGTCATAGACAGTTTTTCATGAACCATCCATTTGGATGCCGAACCCTCGCCGAACCTCGGCCGGACGCCGCTTGGATGCCGAACCTTAGGTCCCGAGATGTGAAGCATCCCTACGCGGATCCTTACAACGCCCGGCTCCCCCAGCCGCCGTGAACGGGATCCCGGCCGTACATTGGGACCAGGCCTACAGACAGGTCCAGGTATAGGTACGATCAACCTGTACAGATGTGTTTTTCTGATTTTATGTCGGATGTTGGAAGACGACTTCGATGGTGACTGTCAAGTAAACACGCATGGAAGTGGACATAGTGGACATGGTCCATTCTTTGGTAGAGGGAAACGTTATGGGTGCTCATGGGGGTCATTGTCCACTTCGTCATACCTTGGTGGCGCTCCCCGACCGGGTGACTCTCGTGGGAGCGCGGCCAGATGTTTTGTGCGGCATACTGTAGGTGTCCACATGCCCACAAATCGACTGGAAGCTGGCTCACTATGTTTGGGAGACTTGATCACTTTTAGGCTGTTGTTGATCAGCAGAAATATCTAGGACTTAGGAGGGAACTGGTGGCCACGTTACTTATATACTATTACAGTTGCAGTGCTTCAGTCACTGTTACATGTGTCACGAAAGGCTGCTATATGATTTCATTGCTTCCAATGCTTTTTGCTGCCTGGAATCGGGCGATCGCAAGCGGGTCGGTGTCTTCCTTGCGCCACTCGCTTTCCAGGTGGTCCATGTGCCTGGACCAGGTGCGCCGAACTCGTCGCGCCAGTGGGCCGCACGGGTGGCCGCTTCGCTTGGGCACCAGAAACCGTTGGGGGATGGAACAAAGAAGAAGGTATCGGCTATCACTGCCAAGGTCATCCAGGTAAATAGCAACGTCCACTGAACGTACGCTTAGGTTCACTTTGGAAATGATTGATTATACCCTGTTTATGATTCTGTTTGTTCGATCTGGAAGGGCGATCTGAGATTCAATTCAGAATAGATTCTGAGTGGATTGAGTGGATACTCACAAATGTGCAGATCAGTGAGATCAGCAGTTCCAGCTGATCTCGAGTGGCTCAGTGCATCGCTGCTGCCCTACTGCGTCCGCGTCAGGACATTACACCGATGGTGCCAGTGTCAAGGACGTGTGGAGACGGTTTGTGGACGGTCCGATTATGGGACGACTGACGACTCCAAGAAAAGCCACCTCAGTAAGTCTATAATGGGACATAATAGGTATATATTCCACCAGATTTGGGATAAATTGAATCTCCACATGATGGCATGGTCATCCAGGTAGGTCCTGGTAGATGATTGGTTGCTCATGGTTGCTCCACATTGGAAAATTTGTGGAGATTTGGTACAACATCCAAGCAAGTCTGGCCGTTGTCAGTACTTTGCAAGTTTGGACCAGTCTTCAGGACACGCAGGAGAGAGAGAAGGTCGTGCCTGAGAAGCGGAAGAAGCTCTATGGGGTTGGGGGGAACCCAACACAGTAGCGATTGGGCAACCCCTAGTTTTAGGGTCAGACAATGCATCAGGTTTAGAAGAGTTACCTAATGCATGACAAGTCCATACAAGTCCCAGTACTTCAACTTGATGCCCCAAATGAACCACGACATACTACAACACCATACCACAACACCATTGTTTTACTCGTCACTTTGTTTGAGAAACAGACAAGTTTGAGCAGTTTCTTTGGTGTGATTGTGCCCACGTCAAAGCCTCCTCTGGTGAAACCCTGAAGCTGAACCAAACCGTCCCTGAGTCGATGACTTGTCGCAGCAGGGATTGACGAAGGGCCGCCATGAAGCATGCGCGCGTGTGTGTGTGTGTGTGTGTGTGTGTGTGTGTGTGTGTGTGTGTGTG